CCCCCTCGCCCCATACCCTAAACCACTAGGAATGTATATTTTTCTTTTTTCTTTTTCTCTGGCCCCCAACAACCCTAGCTCTAAACCCTTTATTACTTCTTTGTTGCCGACTGTAAACCCTAATTTTCCCCTATCAAACCCTCGTTTTGTTTTCGCTGTAAACCCTCGATACTCTATATAAACCCTAGACCCTTTCGTAACAAACCCTAAACCCTCACCACACAAACCCTCACGCAATACCGTATACTCCACACCACAAGGCAAACGATATACATCTCCAGCACGCACCCGCTGCTGCTGCTGCTGCTGCTGCTGCTGCTGTTGCTGCTGTTGCTGCTGCTGCTGCTGCTGCTGTTTCTGCTGCGGTTGCTCTTGCTTTTGCTGTTGCTGCTGCTGCTGCTGCTGCTTCTGCTTCTTCTTCTGGTTCTGGTTCTGGTTCTGGTTCTGCTGCTTCTGCTGTTGCTGCTGCTTCTGCTTCTGCTTCTGCTGCTGCTGCTGCTGCTGCTGCTGCTGCTGCTGCTGCTGGGGGGCGAGGGAGGCCAGGGAGAGGGGGGGGGGCCGCTGCTGCGGTTGGTGCTGCTTCTTTCCCGTCAGCTGCTCAAAGAGAGAAGGCGTGTTTTCTGTCTCTCTAGATAAATTTATATTTAATACTGAATCCTTCTGCTGCTGCTGCTGCTGCTGCTGCTGCTTCTGCTGCTGCTGCTGCTGCTGCTGCTGCTGCTGCTGCTGCTGCTGTTTGAGCTGCTTTTGCTGCCTATACACCTCAGCGTCCACAAGCTCAGGGGCCTCGTCGGGGTCTGAAACTACCTTTCTCTTCTTGCTGCTGCTGCTGCTGCTGCTGCTGCTGCTGTTGCTGCTGCTGCTGCTGCTGCTGCTGCATTCGTGGCTGCAGCAGCTGCAGGGACTCTCAAAAGGCACAAGGGTGCCCGCCAGCTGCACGGCCCAGCTGCTGCTGCTGCTGCTGCTGTTGCTGCTGCTGCTGCTGCCTGCTGCTGACTCCACCCAAAACTCCGCGTCCTCCTGCGCCAGAGACAAAACACAAATTATATTTATTTATAAACAAAATAATAAATAAATAAATAAATAAAAATAAATAAAAATAAAAAATAAAAAAAAATAAAAAAAACAAATAGATATTAGTTACGGAGTTTATGTACAACAACAAACAGAGGCAAGAAAAGCAGCAGCAAACAGGAGGAAGCAGCAGCAGCAGCAGCAGCAGCAGCTACAATAGCAGCAGCTGCAGCAGCAGCAGCAGCAGGCACAGCAACAGTAGAAGTTCCAATAGCACCAGCAGCAGCACTAGCAGCAGCAACAACAGCAGCAGCAGCAACAGCAGCACCACCAACACCAGCAGCAACAATACCCAGTAGCAGCAACAACAGCAGCAGCAACAACATCCACCAGCAGCAACAGCAGCAACAACAACAACACCACCACCACCAACAACAACAACAACAGCAGCAGCAACAGCAGCAACAGCAGCAACAGCAGCAGCAGCAGCAACAGCAGCAGCAGCAGCAGCAGCAGCAGCAGACCGAGATGAGTAGTTTGAGGGGCTGTCTAAATTCTTTTATTTTGGCGATGGGGGCCTTGAGGCCTGCTGCTGTCTGCATCATCAGCACCCACATAGGGGCTTGCTGCTGCTGCTGCTGCTGCTGCTGCTGCTGCTGCTGCTGTTTCTTTTGCTGCTGCTGCTGCTGCTGCTGCTGCTGCTGAAGGTATAAGGGACAGAGCGGCACCGCCAGAGCCAAGTGGAGACGGCCCGCCTGGGATCGATAACGGAGACGATCCCCGCCGAGGGTCAGCACCCCCCCTGCAGCAGCAGCAGCAGCAGCAACAGCAGCAGCAGCAGCAGCAGCAGCAGCAGCAGCAAAAAACAGAGCAAATGCAGCAACGGATTCAACAGAAGGAATGATAGACTTTACCTGCAGTCACAGCCGAGCTCCACCTGCAGCAGCAACGAGGAGAACAGCAGCAACAGCAGCAGCAGCAGCAGCAGCAGCAGCAGCAGCAGTAGTAGTAGTAACAGCAGCAGCAGCAGCAGCAGCAGCAAAGCTTACCCCAGAAGGACATTGCGACGAATATTGATGGAAGACAACAGCAAAAAATAAAATTAAAAAGAAGTCGAGGGTTTAGGGTTTAGGGTTTAGGGCGAAGGTTCAGGGTTTAGGGTTTAGGGTTTAGGGTTTAGGGTTTGCTGTTTTAACCTCAGCGGGACCCCAAACAAATAGAGGAGATGAGGGTTTAGGGTTTAGGGTTTAGAGTTTCAGTGAAGAAGGAAAGTTAAAACCATCATTCTAGGGTTTAGGGTTTAGGGTTTAGGGTTTAGGGTTTAGGGTTTGAGGCCCCGCCCGAGACTGTCGAGACATGGGCCCCGCATGCGGCCCCGAACGAGGGTTTAGGGTTTAGGGTTTAGGGTTTAGGGTTTAGGGTTTTGGTACTTTACAAAAAGATTATATTTCTCTTTTATATTTCGATATCTTTCTAAGGATAACAG